CCAGTAACGACATTGAAAATCTCAGGGTCGGAGAAGATACGTTCATCCAATCTAGCCCTAATGCGCGGGCTGGCTGTGACGAGATCGTCGATCACTTCCTGGTTACGAATCTTCAAGTCCCTGATCTTAACAGCTATACCCAGAGCGATGAGTTCTTCACACCCGAGTTTTTTTAAGCTGCTTCGTTTTGCATCGGCAGTTTCGTCGAGGTCTTCGGCGAAGACGAAACCTATTATTTTTCCCAGGTTGGTTCGGTCAACCTGGTTGATCTAACGATTCGTATCGTATAGTGCCTGGTGCTGAACTACTTGGCGAGCTTCCACAGCCCGTGCCACGTGGTCGAAAAATTCTTTCTCAACCTCAGAAGACCACATCAGTTCAAGAAACGTCTGGAGGAATCCCATAGCGCCGGGTAAATGGTCGATACGGGTGGCTCGGGCGGCTCGGAAACCAAAATTTGAAATTCAGTATGGGCGACTGCAGAAACCCAAATATTTGAAATTCAGTATGGGTGACTGCAGAAAAATAAATCAGGAGGCTGGGGTGGGGGAACCCGAAACCCGTCAAGCCTGCAAATCCACGCTATGTATTTTCGGACAAAGGGGTCCTCCGCTCGTGCTCCGCTTTGTATGCACCCCTATGGTGGGCCTTGGGTGTGTTAATAGCGATTCACCCCAGGGGTCCGCTACGGAACAGGGTTTGTGCAGAGCAGGGGGTTTAGTGTGCTTAGCTTACAGGATCGCCGGTATGCAGTTTGAAAGGGTGTAGTACTTTTTTTTCTTTGGTCACACTCGTTAAATTCCACGAACAATAAGGAAAGGTGAAAATGGGCCAAGCTAAGCCGTATCCGCAACCTCCCATCCGGATCGCCGTTGGTCGTGCGGGGCTGCGTGGTCCTTAGAGGCGACCCGGTACGGGAAAGTTTCGCACGGTGCGGCGGGGTAGCGCTCCGCGTGTTGAGGCAAGTGAAAATGCCCGTCGGGGGCAAGCTGCCGTGTCGGGGGCAAGCTGAAAACCAGGGGAACAAACCAAGCCTAGATAAGAATGGCCAGGACAAGGGAAGCTGGAATAATTCATCCATAAATGGTACTGTCCGCGGGCAAAAATCAACTTGCAACGTGCTTTTTGTATCGCTGCTCGTGTTTTTCTTTTCCACAACTAACTCCAAGCGACCTATTTATCTAGGTGCATTGGTTTAACCCCTGTACTTGCACACTCTTCCCCGGCCCAGGGAGAACGCTTGTGCACCGGTTTGGCGGCCAAAACATACAAGGTGCGTTGAGATAAAATAAAAAACCTTTTGTCTTTCCCGACCGGTGCGCTCCCTGACTGGTGCCGCCAATCGGGCCCTTAGTTTGCTATGGAAGGAACAGAGCCGCCAACAGCTCGGCCCTGACCGGCCCAATCCTTTTGGAGGCGGGCGTTCAGTTTAGCGCGATTATAACGTCGGGTCGTGATAGAACCTGTTTTGAACCTGGCCTTTGCATACGCCCCTGCTGGCTGCCTGCGTCTGCTGCCACGAGAAACGGATGGCTGGCGTAACGTAATCATACCATAAATAGCTTGTATTCCCTTCTTGAAATTTCACTTGATGCTTTTAGTCGTTCCAAACTGCCTTGTCTCTCACCTCGTTGATTTTCCAAAATGTCCGCACATAAGGAAGAGAACACCAAGCCATCGGCACAGGAAGTCATCAAAAACGCCTGGAGGCCCTTCTACCGGACTCCTTCCTCTGTTCCTCTCAAGATCCTCCCTTTCTATCACGGTGTACCCTCGACGGCTGCCTTTCCGACAAACGAGCTACTCAGAGAGGGTTACGAGCGCGCCGCCAGGCAGTG